CCCTGGCCGGGTTGGGGTGGAGGCCCAACCCTGGGGGTGGGGAAAAGCTGGGCTGCCACGGCAGGGGGAGTAGCAGGCCCAGGCTGACCTGGCAGCAGTGGGATTAGGGGAGGAGTGGGATCAGAGCTGACATGGGGGAGGAACGGGCCCAGGCCTGGGGTGGGGAGGAGGCCCGAGCCCGAGCTGGGGAAGAAGCTAGCCTATCGCAGCAGTTGGAGGGGAGCAGCAGGCCTGGTCTGATGCAGCAACAGCAGGGGGAAAGGAGGAGTGAGCTTCCTTCCCCACTTGGGCCTGGGACCACTCCTCCTCCACCCTCCCTTCTTCCCACCCCATCAGCCAGGAGCCCACTCCTGCCATTCCCCTGCCGCTCCCAGGTTGGCCTGGGCCTGTTGCTCCTCCCGCTGTAGTGGGTCAGCTTCTCCCCCAGCTTGGGGTTGGTCCTCGGCACCCCTCATGTGAGGCTGGGGCCCACTCCTCCCCTCCCTCCACCACTACCATCGCTTTCGCAGCATGGCCGCTATTCCCTGAACCCGTGTTGGGCTTGCTCCTCCCTCCACAGCTGCTGCATCATCCTGCGTTGGGCCCTGCAGGCAGTGACAATGGAAGTGGGGAGGGACAGGGTGAGGCCAGAGCCATGGCCTTGCCCCCCCATGGTGTCTTAACCCCACTTCCCCGTGTGTCACCACCGCCATCACCTGCAAGGATTAAGTGGGGGGGGAATGAAGCCAGCTCTGGTGGCTTTGCCCCCACTTCTGCTTCATCATTGCCACCTGCAGGGAGCAGGGCTGGGGGGTGAAGTCAGTGCTGCTGACCTTGCCCCCCTCTGTTCCATCCGCTCCGTTGCCCCCACCTCCAGGGAGTGGGGGGGGGGGGGCATGTGCTGGCCTTGCCCCTCCCCTCTGTCCCCTGTGTCCCCACCATCATGGTGATGCCCCACAGCGCTGCCAGCTCCTGTTCAAACGCTTGGTCACACTCTGATTGGCTGTTTCTCAGCCAATCAGAGCACGAATAAGGTGTTATGGACAGATGGACAGACAGCCAGAGAGATTTAGGCTTTTATAATATTAGAATCATTAGAATTAGGGGAACTGTAGTAGATCTGTTTATTGAGCATGTGTTTTGATATAATGAAATATTATATATATTAATTGATAAAGAATATTAAATTAGTATGGGATATAGTTAAGATGATGGAAAACAGTGTCAAGCTGAGGGAGGTCCTAGGAAGCAATTATTGACCATAATATTAAAAAGATTTCATTTGTTGTGTTCCTGTTGCTGTTAGGGAGCCAAATCTTAGATGAGTAGCTTGTATTTTTTGTCTAACTACAGGTAACCAATGAAGAAAAATGTTATGCATTCAGAAGCTTATCTAACTTTATCTCAACTATGGAATTGGACCAATAAAATAGATCACTCCCCAAAACCCTTTTGCTTTTTAGCATTGTGAATGGTGGCACAGTAGAAAGAATGCATCAGAGATATCTGCTGAGCTAGAAATGATTTTATTAAGGATTTGCTAATTATTTGGTCATAAGGAATCCAGGGGAAAATATAGGAAGCCCACAGGGGATTTGATCCTCTAACACTTACATAAACATTCCATTATAATTTTGCTAAATTAAGTGTAAATATTACTCAGGATTTTATTGTAACACTTGGTTACTATTCATTTTGTTTTGAAGACTCGGATTTGTTTTTAAATTACCCTATTGCTGTTTCAAAGGATGAATGTGTCTATGAAACTTGTTTTGACTTTTTTGATGATTGGGGGCTAATTTTTGTTATTTCAAATAATATGATGGTCCATGTCATTTTGTACAAAAATTTCTCTTCGTTAGTTCATTGTTTCATACCTAGTTTCAAGTAACCAGTATTTATTAACAATTAATTAATTAGTAATATAGTAGAGAAATAAATCAAATTACTGACCTTAATTTTAAATAAACATGTTGGCATTTAGATCTTTATAATATTGTGTAGCAAGCACCATGTACTTCATTTAAAGTAGTATATTTAAAGTAGTGCCATGCTAAGTTTTAAGTATTTTCACAGCTTCCTATTCTATAGCTAGACCTAGGAAGAAACACAAAATGAAAAGGAAAGGAGCGAAGGTGGTCTTCTAAAGAAGGCAGCAGGATGGGTAATTGAGTTCAGAAGCTGGAAAGTGTGTTACTATCAGCTTGGTACATATCCTCATAACGAGGAGTTAGAGCTCTTCACTACCAGCATTACTTTCCTTCAGGAATGAATATGGCCCAATCCTGTGCAGTAAAATGTCAAACAGCTCTCGAGATGGGATTTAGCAGCTGCTTTTCCTGAGTTGTCAGGGAAGGTTCCAACTCCTGTCCACCTGCTCAATAAAAAGTGTGCAAATCAGATCAAATTGGGTCTACTGATAGGTACTTAACAATTGTACAGAATTCAAGAGACTCACTGTACTATTCTTACTGCTGAATAAATTAGTCTGGGTGCAGTGTCATTTGAACAAGACAATACTACTTCTAGTTCAGGGGCCATACCAACAAAGCTACTTTGGTTCAAATTTTGCATGGGGCAGCCTTGAGACAACATCATACTACACCAAGCTACAGACTTCTGACTCAGAAAGAAGTGGAGGGGGCATTCTATAAGCAAATGAGAAAACTATCAAAAAATTGTGAGTTGGTACTAATGTAGGACTGTAACTTTCCAAATATCTGCTTGGTGAATAATACAGCAAAATGCCAAATGTCAGGCAAATTTCTATGTGAAGGACAACGCTATTCCAGATACGTGAGGATGTGACTAGAGGATCTTCTGTCTTGAATGTTGTTTCGACCACTGGAGAAGAACTGGTTGATGATGTGAAGGGGAAGGGAAACTAGGAAGGAAGGAAGCTATCATGATAGGATAAAATTTATAATTCAAAAACAGGGAAGGATAAGGTTAACAGAACTAAGGCACTGGATTTCAAAAGTGTGGATTTCAACTGACTCAGGGAAATAGTAGGTAAGGCTTGATGGGAGGATGGACTAAAGACTAAAGGGATCGAGGAGGGCTGTATTTTCTAAAGAGCACAAAAATGAAAGCACAAAAAGAAGCTATTCTGACACAATGATCTCCTGCTGTTATTCTTGCACGGCCAGTGTGGTGGCATTGAATTGAGATATTTCTGGGAAGGGAAGCAAAGGACAAGAAGAAGGCATTCTACAAAGACACTGGTCAGAAAAGAAGGATCAGAAAACAAAAAGAAAAGATGTGTAGGTCCCCTGCTAAATAGGGTTGGGTGAGCTATTAACAGATGATGCATAAATGGCAGAGGTGCCTGACATCTGTTTTGTCTCCATGTTGTTGTTTTTTTAAGGTGCAACCAGTCAGATGAAAAAATTATGTTGATAAGGAAAGAAAAGGCTGAGGGTTGTGATAAAAAAAGAGCATCAGAAAACTTCTAGTTAGTTTCCTACATCAGTTGGGTCTTACAAACTTCATCCTGGGGAACTGAAGGAATTGGTACAGAGGATCTATGAGCTCTTGGCAGTAATATTTACAATGCCTCCCATTTCAAAAAAGCAAAAATGAGAACCTGGGGAATTATAGCCTTATTTCAATACCTGGGAAATTACGATAGTAAATTATAAAGAAATCACTGTGTAAGTGTCTGGGGGAGGAAAGGCTGATTATGAGCCTTTGTTCAAAACATGCCAAAGAAACTTCATCTCCTTCTTTGACAAAATCACTAGGTGGGAGGATGAACGGAATAAAATGGACATAGTGTGTTTAGACTTAAAAAAGGCTTTTGATAATCTCCTTTTTGTAAGCAAATTGGAGAAACATGGGCTTGATACAATTATTAAAAGGTGGATATTGACTCGGTAACAACAAGCAAAGGATAAATATACCAGTATTGGAATGGCAAGAGATGTCTGTCTTGAGTCTCATTGTACTTAATGTGTTTATTAACCATTTGAATGAGCAAACCTGCAGATGATACAAGTACACCGGAGGACATGAATAGAATTAAGAGGGATCTTGAGAGATTGGCAAAGTGGGCTTAGACAACAGGATGAGGCTCAACCCAGAGGAATGCAAGTTTCTACACATGGAGAGAATTATCAAAAAGCACAAATATGGAATTGGAGGTACCTGGCTGGGTGGCAGCACTGCTGAGAAAGATCAACAGGAATCACCTATGTGATGCACTTGTAAAGAAAGCAAATGCAATTTTGTGCTACATCAGCAGGAGTATAAGGCATGGAAGATGATAGTTCTGGTTTGATTTCACCTAGAATATTGTGCATAGTTCTGGGTTCTGCATTTTTAAAAGGATGCAGATAAGTTAGAGAGAGTCCAAGATAAAAATGCCAAAGTAGTTGGAGGGCAAGCTGCATAAGCAGAGCTTGAGTGAACTAAGCACGTTTAGATTGCAGAAAAGGTGATTAGTGGGAGACGAGATAGCAAACTAATAACACTACAGTGGTGAGACACTGAAAGCAGGGGGACAAGGGCATTATATCTGCCACAGGTTATGGTATTTCTAGTATTTTACAGATTTGCAACACAATTGTTTGTTTAATTTCAGGAATACTTTAGGCAATCACTAAGGCTGTGCAAAGCTTTGGTAATTGATTTGATTTGGAGGAGAGTTGGCCTGATTTGGGGACCAATCTCCAAATCCGAATTGAATTGGGAGACCAAGTAAAAGCTCCAAATCTATTCAAAGCATCCAAATTTATTTGGAAAAGCTTTGGAAAAAGATTTGGCCGATTTGGAGATTCAGCTATAGATTAAACAGACAGCTGACAGCTGCCTCCAGCTGGTAAATCTGTTGGAGTTGGGGGAGTGGGGAGGGAAGTGGCATGGGGGAGGGAGGGATTGGGGCTGGAGCTGGCCACTGGGGTGGGGGGCACGTTACTCAGGAAGGAGGGTGGGTGTGGGTGTGAGATGTGGGCACAGCAGTGCTGGGAGTGGGGGCTTTGTCCTGCTGCTGCTTGCTCAGCTTGGGTAGGGGGGTGGGATGCAGGTGCAGGTGGAAGGGGCAAGTGTCAGCAGGGCATAGCTCCCACTCCCAGTGCTGCTGTGCCCACATCCCATGTCTCCCATGCTGGCTGGCAAGTGGTGACAGGGCAGAGCCCCCGCTCCCAGTGCTGATGCACCTGCATCAGCGCTGGGAGTGGGGGCTATGTCTTACTGTCACCCAGAGTGAGCTGTGCCTGCATTGTGCCCCCACGCCGGCTGGGCAAGTGGCATCAAGGCAGAGCCTCTGTGGCTCCCCCCACTGGGGCATAGGCAGGCCCAACCAGGGGAGCCATGGGAGAAGCCCCCATGGCTGTGCTGCCTGGCCCCATCCCCTGCCCACCCCCAGCCTAGTTCTGGCACTTTAAAAAAAAAAGCCTGCACTCACCAGCTCTGCTAGCGATGATTGGCACCTCTGAGGGCTCATAGCAGAGCACCCCTGTGCAGCCTGGGGCAGTGGGAGAAAGCAGGGATCACCCCCACTGCCTGGCACCCATGCTGCAACTGCCCCACAGTGCGGGTACAGCTTGGCTTGGCAGGGTGCTGTGTATTGCCTGGGAGCTGGGGCTGCTGGGGCTGAGGATCTGCTGGGATCTGGCTGATGTGTGGCCCAGCTACCTGATGAATTGAACCAGGGGCTGGGGAATATAACTGGGGGCAGGGGAATTGAACAGGGAGCTGGAGAATTGAACCAGTTCAAATCCCCAGCCCCTGGCTTGATTCCCCAGTTCCGTTAAATTCCACAGCCCTGCGTTCAATTCCCCATCCCCCAGTTCAGTTCCCCAGCTCCCTGTTCAATTCCCCAGCTCTCTGTTTGATTTGCCTGGGAGCTGGGGCTGCTCCATGTGTCAGCCAGAGCCTGGCAGCCCTCAGCCCCTGTAGCCCGAACTCCCAGACAGTGCATGGTGCCAAACCAAGCCACGCTGCACCTATGTCATGGGGCAGTTGCCATGCAGGTGACAGGCAGGGGGGTGATCCCTGCTGCCCCCACTGCCCTGTGCTGCATAGGGGGACTCTACCATGATTGCCCAGAGGCCCCTGATTGCCACTGCCAGAGCCAGTGAGTGAGGGGCTTTTTTTTTTAATAAGTGCTGGGACTAGGGTGTGCCAGGTGGGGGATGGGGCTGGGCAGGGCAGCCTGGGGAGATATAGGCCCAGCTGGAGGAGCCACAGGAAAACCTGCAGTCGCCTGGGTATGCCTGCCTCTCCCTGGCCAATCAGAATCACTGAATCTCTCCGAATCAGCGCTGAATCTTCCAAAGCTGATTCGGCCGAATTGATTCAGGACAGTGATTTGAATCTCTGAATTGAATCACTGTCCTCCGAATCAACCAAATACAAATTGAATACTTCCCTATTCACACAGGCCTAACAAATACCTGTCTGCAACAGTTTGGATAGGGATGATCCTATGGCTTCTAATTTCAGTAATGTAGATTTTAAGAAAAACTTCCTTACTCTTTGAACAATGCGGTAGTCAAACAGTCTTCCCATGAAAGTTGTGGAACCTTCTTCACTGGAGGTTTTCAGGAAGAAGCTGGTAAGCATTGGTCAGGAGGGATTGAGAG